GTCCTGCGGTAGCTGCAGCTGTAGTCAATCCTTCCTCATTCACGTGGCTCTCTCTTCGCTGACTTCTCGTGCTCTTACTGTGTGACGTCTCTCCCCAATTTATTGCCTTTTCCTTCAGTGGTTTCTAACCTGGATTTTAACATGTGCATAGAGTTTGGAGTTTCAGTGACTATTCTATTATTCTATTCTATGCATTTTGAAATCTTACCCTTTTAATATGGGCATTTTTGTGGTTTGCTTATTGAATGAGAAAAAGAAATACAAAAAGAAGGACGGGGCTGCACCTAGGTATGGTGGAGGAGAAAGTTAATCGTAGACGAAAGGGAGAGTAAGTACAGCTGAAGGCAGAGACTTCTGGGAGAGTCCAGAGTGAGGGTGACCCTGAGCTAAGTGAGGAGGTGGGGGGGGGCAGGGAGGAAAAGGTCGAGGGGGAGCCAGGTGCAGCAGCCGAGAGGCCAGAAGGTAAAAAGGGGACCGTAACCAAAATGTCCAGATTATATAGGGGGCAGCCCAGCCCCAGGGCTGGAGAGTTGGGGGGATGGGTAGAGGGTAGGGTAGGCCAGCAGTACCCTGTAGCAGGTAGGGAGTGAGGGATGCTGGGAGAACCTGGTGGCCAGGTCTTACTTTCATATGTTAAATAGACACCTTCCTCCATTTGTCCCAGAGAGACTTAACACTTCACAACTGGTTTGTTTTTGTTTTTCAGTTAATTATTTATTTTCATTATTTAATTGTTTGAAATTAATGCTTTTTTTTCCCCAATCACTTTGCTATAGTTCTTCTGCTTTGTGATCTTCATCTTCACTGTATATGCTGCTTATCCTACACAGTACATTGTTTGCTGTGTCAGTTATATTTTTAAATTATAAGTGCCTTTTACCCCACCACTAAATGGGAGAATTCTGTGCATTCTCTTCTCTTTCTCTCTCTAAAAACAAAACACCAAAATCCCCCAAAACTTCATTTTCATCATTCAGGTAGTCTGGGTGCCACCCCCCTCAGAATCTTAATTCAATCTTAATTAACTCTTAACGTCCTAACTCCAGACCAGAGCAATTGGTGGTTGTAAATTTGAAAAGAAGCTCTCTCCATTCCTGAGCTGAGATGGGCGGAGGGTGTGTGTGTGTGTGTGTGTGTGTGTGTGTGTGTGTGTGTGTGTGTGTGTGTGTGTGTATGCCTTGACATAAAGTCCAGGTTCTTGGTCTCTAAAGCAACAGACTGGAAAAAACATAGTGACCATACTCAAGTATACAGTTACTAAAAGCCAGAGTTTAGTGTAGGGTAGATTTGCAGAATGGACGTTGGCCAGAGTAAGAGGCTGCTGAAGAGCTCTGGGTTCTTCGTATGGTTTTTTGTTTTGTTTTGCTTTCTAATGTATTTAGGTGGAGGGAGGAAGTGGTTGGAAGCCATCAGGAATGGGTTTAATCCTAACCTGATTGATAGATGAGCTGTTACGTAACTTAGGACAGTTTGCTCCTGCATTGTGCGTATGTCCATAATTTAAAGCATATGTAGGACCCATCCAAGCATACATCATGAGATGACAAATAGGGATTTCCCCTTGTCAGGTCACTTCAAGGACAGTCATACTCACACAGCTTGTACCCAGTACCGGCTTTAAGTTGGCCTTGTTTATCTCTCTTACTAGGAAATGCTTGACCCCAAACTATCCACAGGAGGGGCCCCACTGGGTGTCTCACGAAGTGAAGGGGCAGATACATTTTTCCAAGGGGAGATGCCCAGGCACTGGGCTGTTTTATTGGCCTGTCTAAGGTCTGGGCTAATGCTTTATGTTTTAATACAGTCTGCCTCCCCAGATCATCACATCTTGTCTTCGGTTGTGTTGGCCAAAGCCTCAGCATGTTTAGAAGGTCTGCTTCACATGCGGCTGCTCCAGGTGCATGTGCAGTGCTCAAGGCATTCTGTTCTTTCCTTGCTTGTGCCCTTAGGAAATCTCCACACAGTGCCGACTTCACCGAACAGAGTGCCCAGCCCTAGGCTTCTTGGATCATCTTGCTGCCATTGCAAATCTAACATGTGCTGTGTGACTCTTCCTGGGGAGATGTAATGGAATGCCTATGCATGTGGAGAAAGAGGGTACTCATAGATTAAAGAGTCCATAAAGGGTCTATTGCAGTTATTTACTTACAGGATCATGGGTAATTCACAGGCAGGGTTATATATACTGCAAGAGAGAGGGTTGCCTAGACTCTGAGGCCAGGGTCTTCTGACTCTTCCTCCTGTGTAGGACAATGCCTAGGCACACTATTGTCACCATAGAGCTAGCTATCAGCTTGATTGTTCTGTTTATGACACTTCAGGTCAAGGTCTTCTATAGGTCATTACCATCACTCTGTTTCAAGAAAGTCTGGCCTCAGTGAGCTCCCAGGGAATAGCTGTGCTATGCTCCATCATAAGCTAGGGGGAAAAAGTGTCAAACTGCAGGTCGGTCCATGCCACAGAAACACCCTAAGCCTGGAGCTCCCCCTTCTAATAGCAAGTGATGAGAACTCCAAAGGTGCCCTGAGGGGTTCCATATTTCTGGGGAAAGGGATCACTGAGTTTAAGAATTTCAATTTTTGACTGGCAAGAATACTGAACTCATTGCTGTTGGATCAGCTCTGTCTGGAAGCCCCTCTACTGACAGGAAGCAATGACAGATGGAATTGGCTTGTTCACAGACTGGCTGTGTGGGACACATCCAAGTCCAGTTTCTATTATACGGAAGGACTATACATCTGTTCTCCTCTTTAGGATTTGACCTCAGCATTGGACACTTAGAAAAAAACCAACCACTCTCATCCTTTGAAGTTAGTATAACTATTGTTCCAAAACCAAGGGTAGGATAGTATGAGGAAAAAGTCAGTCCTTTATTTCTCAAAATTACAAATAAAAATAAAAATACTGGGTTTAACAGAATCTGTGGTAGATATAGCCACAAAACAAAACAACAAATCGACATCACACTGGGGTCAGAGTTATTTTAGAAAGCACAGCTTGTTTCAGAACAGGGAGCTTGCAGAGAAAATTCTATCAAGGGCTAAGGTCGTAGCTTGCCTCATATTACTGAGGCCTTGGGTTTGGCCCCCAGCACTGCAAATCAAATACATCAGTGAAAGGAAATTAAAAACTTATGTAATGAACAAAAAAAGGCAAATGAAATATGAGAATGTTGCCACTGTGTTATGATTGAAAAGTATCAAAATTACCAAAAGTTATAAGCCGAGAGAAAATTTTCAAAAACTGATAAACTACATGAACTATCTGGACCCACATCTTACACAGTGGAGGAGGAAATGATATTAAGATCTGGAGTAGGAAAATATTGCTCACTCTCATCCTATTCTGCTAACTTAACATTTGGTTAAAAGGCATTAAGCAATTCAGGAAAAGTAACCGTTAAAGGCAAAGTTAGAGACCATGAAGGGGAAACTTGCTGCTGAAGCCTTCTGGAGGGTGGAACAGCTTTATATACACGTGCCAGAGGCAGAGTCTTTAGGGATGGCATTCATCATTTCTAGAAGCAAGGCCAGAGCTGGGTGAGGATAATGCTAGAGACCAAGTCACCTGCTCCCAGCAACCACACCTGCCGAGGGACAGCAAAAATCGTAGGCCAGCAGCGATACTCACGTTTTGGCAGCAGGTGGCGCTCGGCCTCCACGGCGTGATCAGCTGCAGTCACAAGTCCCCTCTAAAAGATTCCACTTTTCCAGGGCTGCAGCGGGTTAGGAGTCATCACCTGTTGAGAGCGGTGTGGGTTGTCCAGCATCCTCACAGGTGGGCATCTGAAGGGCCCTGTGGTGAATGTATCACGATTGCACTTTAGGGTCAGATCCTCACTGCCACCCAGGCAGAGGATGAGAAGGGGCAGTCACCAGGCTGAGGGGGGGTGGGGTGGGGCGGCAAATTGTCCTGGTACTTCCTTCCCGCTTTGGTGCAGGTCGGGGGACGCAGCGCATTCTGGGTTGGCCGGGTGTGCATACAGGGGCTATAGTAAGCGACAGGTGACTAGTGTTTTGAGTGGCTGTCTCGGCTCCTGGGGCAGTCTCCAGCCCAGGTGTAAGGGCCAAAGCATGCATCCCCTAGTGTAATCATTGAGGAGCCCGCCCCGCAGGAAAGAGGCGGGGACCACCGGAACTAAAGTTGCCCCTCCTCCACTTGCCGTGATGGATTCAGTGTCAGGGGCCAGGAAACACCTCAGCCAAAGCAGACTAGCAGGCACCACCCAAACACCTGGTTGGCCTAGAAAAGTGGCACCAGGTGAGATGTGCACACTGGTGTCCCTTGTCCCATCCTTTCATAGACTGTGCCAGTCCTCCCAGGACCACCTTCCAGAAACACCCCACCCCATGTCACTTCCAACTTGGGAACAGAGTCTAAGCAGCCATAGAAGGCATAGGTAAATAGCTGCCCAGTGTCCTCAGGGATCTGGTTAGGTGGTAATACTGGAGTCTTTTTTTTTTTTTTTTTTTTTTTGGTGAGTGGGAGGGGCTTCCCTATCTCTAGCACCTTCCTTCTGCTCCTTGCAGTTCAGATAGCAGTCACAGGTGAAGAGCGCCTTAATAGCCATGGGACTGGGAAAGCAGCTGGCCCAGGCAGGCTTGTGTGAGCTACAGGTGGAGGAAGAGAGGGCAGTGGAGGGTTGGGATTCCGGTCAGGTTTGACAGCTTAATTCCCACCGGCAAAAGGTGAGAGTCAAGGTCCCTTTTTTTCCTCTTTCTAAATCTGGATCTTGCTTCAAGTGTCTTTCCACACACCCAGACACTAGTCCTTCTTGACTGTACACTTTCTAGACTGTCAATGACCTAACTCTAGGGAGTTACCTTCCACAAATCCTGCTTTAAACCCTGTCCCAACACAAGGCACAGAACCAAACTGCTAGGTGTGTAGTCTGCCCACCGTCCGTCTCTGGCTGGCATGGAACACTTATGTGATAGAGGTGAGAAGGCTGTGGCCTAAGCAAGCACTGGCCATCTCAAGAATCATTCAGAGTCCAGGTATTGACGTCAGACACATTTTATTATAATCTTAATATGGTCTACATAGATTTGAACTGGTATTTATTTGGGTTCAGTTATAACATAGCATCATAAAAAAATCAAAGCACTGGTTGTCTGAAATAAAGCAAGCATCAACATTCAATAAACACACGATTTATTTTGTATAAAAGGGTTAAGTTTACAACTAAACTTTTATAAAAAGTTTAGCATTAAGTACGTCATTACATTTTTATGCAGAAATGGGTATTTCTGCCACTATACAAGAAAACTCTAGTTAAAGAGTCCACAAGGTTTCACTCAATATATATATATATATATATTTATATATAAATATATACACAGCATTCAGTAGGCTCGTGTCAAATAGGCCATTTCTGACCAAAGACTTCATTTAAGTAACCGAATACTGGGTCCTTCGGGTAGTCACGCTCCACCTTTGAAAAAAAGGTAAAGTCTGCTTCAATTGGGCAATTCCTTGTGATTTTTAACGTTTTTCGCTCCCCATGGTGGGAATAGTATATAAAGAAAACCTTCCAGCTGTAGAAAGGGCATTGAAAGTCTCTCATAAATAACGGTATCACAGTCCGGCCTGGAGAACTCCTGGGGAAGATGATCACTCTCCCTTTTCCTTCCATTTGTTTTTCTTTTTAAAAAGGTCCATTCAAATTGTTCTCCTGGGAAAATGGTTGGAAAGAAAAAAAAAAGTTCAGCAACTTAAAAGATTCTGTAGACTTCTTGTGCAAAAAAGAAAAAGTAAAAAAAAAAAAAAAAAAAAAAAAAAGAAAGAAAGAAAAAAAGTCCTCAGACGCCTGCAAAAGATCGGTAGAGAAAAGCAGCTTAGGGGTGAGTAACCTAAGGGCAGAGGCGGTCAGCCTGGCGCCGGGGAAGCCACAGTTTGAACATTTAAACCAAACCCTGGCCCTGGCGTCCAGATGCGGCACACATAGCCGGCCTCAACAGCACAAATTAAACATGAAAATAACAGAGACTCGAGGGAGAAACTTCCCAAACCCAGTCTCCTATTTGGATCTCTAACAGCCCGCTCACAGGCGCCAGCCAGTATGCTTCTTGTAACAATTATTTGATTGAAAACAGCCCTATAGTCAACAGATAGGGAAATCTGGATCCCAGAGCACAGGGGGCAAGGCTCAGGGTAGCAATTCTCAGCTGGCTGGAGAAATCTCAGCAGTTTTGGGAAAAGAGAATCACTATGGAATTTGTGGCGATAAGATTAATTACAGCCGAGATTCGTACCTCATAGTACCACCGCTGGGCTCACAAAAGCCAGTAATAACACTTTGTCCTGCCATAAGTTACTGGCATTTTTTTTCCTTTTCTTTCTTTTTTAAAGGCAAATGTTCTGTAATCTCGAGCAACCACTGCTACAAGCCCCTTCATGCCTATCTGGTAAGACAAGAGGCACCCATAATACAGCGAAGTAAGCATGCATTTACCAAACATTTTACAGACGCACACGAGCACATTACCAAAACGCGCACACAGGAGGCACCCCCAAACACTCACCATTTATTCAGCCACAGAGTACTTTGCTATCGTTCGACATAAGGTCAGAAGGAAATTCAGATGCCTGGAGAGAAGAGGATAAAAGGCAGGGTATTAGACAATCTTAAAAGACAGCCTCCCTACTCCTTTTACGAAAGTGCCAAGTCCCATTTAACAGGTTCATGCTACAAGGCAGCTACAGACGCAGCCCATACCGAAGAACTTAAGTAGCGATCTCACGTGAGGCTCGATGCAGTTTTCTTAAAAAATAAAGTTAATGAACCTGTCTCCACCACAGACTTTAAGAGTGACAGGTCGGGCGACCTGGAGCTCACGGGCAGCGGGGTACTGGCGAGCGAGTCTCACCTGCAAGGACAGAATGCTGATGTCCGTGTTCAGGGTGGTCAGCGGCGTCCTGGACGCCTGGTTCTGTCCAGGTCTCTGGTGGTGCAGGCTGACGATCGTGGGGTGCGAGTCCAGGGCGATCTGCAGGTCCAAGATGTAATCGATGACGTGCTGCAGGATTTCCATCTTGGTCACCTTCTTGTTCTGCGGGATGCTGGGCACCAGTTCCTTGAGCTTGGAGTAGCAGTCGTTCATGTTGTAGAGCAGGCTCATCGGGTCGTCCACCGGCGTTTTGCTTCGGGAGATGCCCAAGCCGTGGTCTGACAGGCTGTTTTTCCTAACGGACCTCACAGGACTGAAGGCTTTCATGCTGCTCTTAGGAGGAGAGGCCGGGGAGGGAGCAGCCGCGGGGGCTGAGCTGGCTGCGCGGCACCTGGCTCGGCTCAGAATGAAGCGCGAGCCGGGCGGGGCGGCTTTTATGTGCACTCGCCCGGGCCACTCGATCCGGCATCCCTCAGCCACCATTGGTGGAAGGGGTACCGTCCATCATGCCGAACGAGCTCTCTCATTGGTGAGTGAGAGCGCTCGGTCCTTCCGCGTTTGCAGCCAATGCCCGTGGGGTGGGCGGAGCGCGCGTGAGCCAGCTGGGGTGGTAAATTGAGTACAGTGTGCGCTGGTAGTCCAGGGGCCCCGAGTGTGCAAATGTGCACGCCTGATTCCCATCCCCAGAACGGTAGGACCCCCCCCCACCCTGGGGATGTGCTCGGAGCAAGTCATCCCCGCCCCAGGGCTGCCTGCTGCCCCAAGGTCTCCGCTCAGCAATGGGGAAGTCATAGGTCGCTAGCGTCAGGGAAGACAGCGACCTTTGCTGAAGGGAAAAGAAGCGCGCCGTTAGGAAATCACGTTTGCAGAGCGAGTTCCTTCTTTTGAAATCAAGAAAAGCCATGTTTGAAAGGGGGAGAAAAGAGAACTACCCAGGTACACATTCAGGACAGGTTGAGCGTGGGGTTTTGCAACTTGGAGAAACGCGGGGGGGGCCTTCTGGGAAACTCAGTGACAGGAGTATTGTAGTGAACTCTGTGCGGTCTCCCTCAGACCGCAGAGGAGCCCCGAGGGACTCGGCATGTTCAGGATTCTCCCTCTTCTGTCCCCCAAGAATGAGGCCGGGTTGGTATAATGAATCCATTAATCGGAGGTCATCAGTAGGGTTTGCGCACTGAACTACATACACTGCCCTTGGTCTGTGTCCTTCAGTGTAGGTGGCAAAGTGACGCGATTAATTATGCACAAATCGTGATTTCTGGTGCCACATTCCAGCACTCTGGGCTCTTGGGAAGCTCTTTGTCAGGTAGGTGGTCCTAGGTATTGACTGACAGCTTATCGCTGTTATTAAAGCAAATGCTGTTACGTATGAGGTTAGGAATCTTTCGGCACCCTTTTAGATGCAGCAACATTTTAGAAAGTTTGGAGCTCTCGACTCCAGTACTCTCAATTCACACTGAATCCTTGCTTTGCAGAAGACTACCGTATATTGGAGGGAAACTATTTCTCTAAAAAATAAATAAAAATGGAAAGGGTAAACTGGTAGTATCATGTTGACTCCCCCCCCCCCCCATCCACCACATACAAGAATGTAAGAAAGAGGAAGAAGGCAGAATCCGGGCAACGCTACGTAGTGGGGGAACAGTATTTTCCTTCAATTAATGATTAATTCTTCAGCTGGTGGGCCAGGCAATCTCTGACCTCCACGTGACAGCCATGTGCCCCTGGGCTTCTCTCTAGGGAGGCAGAGTCCGGTGGCGAAGAGGTGGTAAAATCAGGCCACCTTGGTGTGGAGGCTGCAAAGGGACACTGCCCTGCAGGGAAATCCTGCGCGAGCCCTGCAGTGCTGCCTGCAAGTCAGTGACAGAGTTCGATTGACAATTCTCCTGCCTCCGTTATTAAGCCTGGAAGTGGCTTACTATCTGAGTCCCCGCACAGTTCGAGCCTCATGATGTACTGCGTGTACATGTGTTTCTGTCACATACGTGCCACAGCGGAACAGATTTTGTTTTGACACTTTTGGTTCATGATGTTATACTCTTGAGTATTTTACAATAATAGCCAATGTAAACAAACATCTCTGGGATTCTCAAATTATTACTTATGATTCTTGGACATTGCATCTCTGCGGTACTGACGCATTCTTAGCTTTTTCCAAGGACACCGTATGTTAGCGCCCGTGCCAGCCTCATTATCCCAACAGAAAGGCCCTGGGCTGGATGATAACGAGCGAGCACTGTGCAGCTTCGCTACACACACTGGCAGATAGCAACAACGCATGAGCGCCTTCTCCCAAGACCATTCTTGTACCCTGATATAGTAAAATTGCTAAATATGGTGAAAGTTCTCTGGCGTTTCTTTCTTTGGCTGCCATGCCAGAGTCCAGTCTGCCCGGCTGCGCTGAATCCGATTTTGTTGGCACACTACCCCCGTTTTTGCATTCACTTAAAGATCATTTTAAGGGGATTGTGAAACTGTGCAAGTCAATGGCTGAGCAAAGGCCGGAGTTACTAATAAATCTGTCACAGCAAGCCCGGGTTGACATTTCTTGAAATTATGTTTTGGGGGCCCAGGATGGGGTGGGAGCCTTTTTTCGGGGAGGCTTATAATAGCATATAAAAAAATCTGCCAATTGGGTGTGGATGTGGATTTTCATCTGAGAGCTCTGAAGTTCAATGGTCCCAGCTGCAGGACGCGCCCAGCTGCAGTAAGGGAGGGATCCGTGGGTGGTGGGAAGGTGTGAAGGGCTTCCCGCGGCGGGGGGGGATAGGGTGGGGGCTGCTGGTGGTGGAAATACTGGCCGCCCCAGCTACCCACTGGGACGCCCCCCCCCCGCTTAAAGCAACAGCCGACTCTGTAGTTCCCCGAGCCCAGCCACCCCCTTCATATCCCCCCACCGTGTCCAGGCTACGCGCGGTAATCAGAAGCAGGTTCGGGCCCGGCCTCCTTGGCTACTATCCCCGCGCGATGGCACTGGGAGGGGGGGGGGAGGAGCCGGCGCGGCGGGGGCAAGTCTCAAGGTCCTCTGCACATCTGGCGCAATTGGGAGCTCGCGCCTTTCTTCCTCGGTTTTGTTCTCACAGCTGTGTCCATTCCGCCCGGACCCCCGAGTGATCCCTGACAGGTGATGAATTGGCAGCAGCGGCGGCGGCGGCGGCGCGCGGGCCAGGCCGCGGCGGGGCCGGAGCCGGAGCCCCGGAGCAGACTCTCTGGCGCCAGGCGGGTGACGCCGCCCATTCACGCCGCCCTGCAGCCTTGTCCTCGCGGCGCCGCTCAGGCGGCTGCGGCAACGGCGCCGTCACTCAGCGCGCGCGCCCAGCTGATCAATGCCTGCAAGGCCCGGCGGTCCCAGGCTCGCCCTGACCGGGCGTCAGCCTGCGCGCACCTGCAGCCTCTGCAAGTCTTAAGTTTCGAATGATTTGGGGGAAGGAAGGAGGACCAAGAAGAAAAGAACTGGAGAAAGGGTGTGTGTATCTAGGGGGGTAGGAGATCGAGGGGAAAAAGCCAGGAGAGGGAGAAGAAAGAATTCTGCCTTCGCTTCGCAAAAGGGGCCGTTGATGTGGCTTGGACGTTGCCAAAGCGAAAGGTTTTGCTTTATTTCATGTTTTTGCAACAGAGGCGTGGAGCTGGAGGGAGGGTAGAAGTGGATGCGAAGGAGGTCACTGTCTCATCTCAGGGCAAGATTTATTTATTTCCCTCGATCTTTTTGATCCTTGCCTGGATGGCTTGGATTTAAAAAAAAAAAAAAAAAAAAAACTTGAAGGACCCCTATCCTCCCCCCTCCCCCCCTCATTCTATTGACATAATCTTAGGAATCCTTAGTGGTTATGCAAAAGGCATCAGACTTTTCCAGAACAGCCCCACGCCCCACCCTGAGAGATGGTAGGTTGTTCTGCTGCTTGCGGTCCTCTGGCTCCTCTGCATTTCAGCGTGCTGCTCCCGCAACTGTGTGCGTGCTCATTTCCGATACAAAAGCGCGCGGGGGGGGGGATGTTAGGGGGTGGGCGAGCCCCTCCACTGTGCTGAGTTTTTGCCTGACATCACCAAGAGTACAGAAACTCGAAAGTCAGCCTGGAGACGCTGACACCTTCTCTCTCTGTCTGGGATTTTATTCCAGGGGTTCTCTTTAGAACCAGATGCCAACATTTCCGGATAGTTTATGACACCCGGATCCTAGGGTGCCCATCCACGGCGGAGAGTTTTAGCGGCAGTTATTCATTCCCTGCCCTGCAGAAAAGATCCCGAACACAATCGTTCTCTGCTGGCACTAAAACCCAAGGGCGTGGTGTGTGTGTGTGTGGGGGGATTGCTGGGAATTTGGGGGAGGGGGTGAGGCGCACAACCGGCCAGGGCTGTTATCTCTCTTATCCGGGTTTGTAGTGGTTTTCGAGGAAAAAGCATCTGGGTTGCATAAGGACTCGAGTTTTTTCTTTACGTGTTTATTTAATACCTTGGCAAGAGGGAGCCCTTATCCTGCAACCAGATAAACCTAATTTGGGTTTAAAAAAGGCCTCAGATGAGGGGCGCTAGGGATGAAGGAGAGTGAGCAAAGCCACGAAAAACAAACAAGAGGAAGTTTATTTTTCTCTTTGGGGTATTTTTTTTTTTTTTGAACACTTGCCTAACCTCTTACACTTCGTGTCATACACAGCTAATAAATGGCATTAGCAAAGCGCCGCTGCTAATACAATGGTTTAGCCTTGAATTGGCCCGCCCTCGCCCTGCCACAATTCCGGTCATAACTCCTTCTAGGATTCCCGCACGGTGCTGTTTACCTGAGTATCTCGAGCCCCAGGTTTAATAAAAAGGAGTCGTGCCAAACCCAATTGCTTGCCACCTTCTGATCCCCTTTTAGAAGATCATTTTCCAGCCATGTCAAAGAAAGCTTGAGAAGTTTGGCGGAAGAGTACGATTTAACTATAGAGAGCCACAAATATTTTGTTTCCAACACTGTGAAGTGCCCCGATTTGCGGTCACATTTGGCATTCACAAAGGATTTTCCTGGGACTTCTATTCCGGTCACCAAATTAAAAAAAAAAAATTAACTGGACGTAGTGATACGGTCTTGGAAAACAATCTCTGGCCGCCTGCGAACTGGCGAGAGCTGGGGCTGGCGTCGCCAAGTCTGCACCACCGAGAGGCGCGCACCGCGGGTCGGGCCACCACGGGAGCCGGGGTCACTGCGGGGACCCCAGGCCGCACTCGCAGGGCGCCCCCCAGTCCGACGCGCCGAGCGAGCGTAGCGCCCAGGCCACCCGCGTCTGCCCACTGGCGTCCGTGGGAACCCCGCAAGCAGCCTGCAACAAGGGCGGGCTTGTCCGGAATCAAACTACTTCTTAATATAATGTCG